CGCTTACGCAACCTAACCAACAACACTAAGTATATGTGATCTGCGTACCGATGTGATCAGCTGTCCGTGGGTACATATGTACCCACTAGACAGCATACGCAGAATCATACGGGAGTGCTCTCAAACAGATGGGACAGCCTATATCACTGTAGCTGGTCCAGTGTTAGAGGAAATGTCATTCCTATTCTCGGGTGCCGACGGACCCCTTTAATCTTGTACTCGTCATTCATGATTCGATCAACTGATACATTATCATTCACCTGTCTCCGGTTCACTCAAGACTCTACGTTTTACCACTTTTTGAAACTGAGCAGCTGACTTCACGTTATTCTGTCAAATTGTTCTGCTTCCTTGTGCTATTGAACTTATAATGAGGAACTTTTGAAGTTTCGAAAAGAAATTCGCGGCACGAAATCATTCATAAAGCCACTAAACCACTCAGCAGCAGCAACACTCGATATGGACAACGCAACATCGCCTTAAACTGAGTCAGCATGATCAAAAGGTAATCAGGATTTCAGATTCAGCGCTGCCCATACATTGTACCGTTGGGAATATAAGTCAACTATAAAGTAGATGAAAATTAACTGAAAGCCATTTGACAAAAAAATCCATATTGCGGCACGACTCCGTCACAGGAATCATATTTCAGTTATCCGAAATTTTCCCCGTTAGAATAGACGGAACTCTGTCCGGTTAAGCTTCGCTCCAGACTATTGCCCAGCAGAATGGAGCTCGATTCACTAGCCGATGCTTTCTCTGTGTTTTATGCCTTCCTAACCCCAAAGCACTGATTGCACTGCGTAGGAGAAACAGAATCGTCATGTTTTCCCTACTCACCATCCAACAATCCAGTCCAACCCCGTATTGAATGCCCACAAACCCAGAGGCATGGTTAAAAGTGGTTAACATCTGTTTCGATGTTAACTGCCTCCTAGGAGGGAAGCTGTTTGTTGACCATTAGCTGCGGTGGCATGAAAGTAGGGTTTTCTATTTTTCACATTAAATCTATGGTTAATAGGCTCGTTTAAATTGATGAATTTTTTGGGAACTTGGACAAATAAGAGAGCTGTTTTGGTCAGCTATCCTGCTAGTACAATGTTTAACGATCCAGACATTTGTGTGTGGTTACTTCGTAGCAAAGTGCCAAACAACTTGCGAAGAAACCAGGTTTCTGGTTGATGGAAATGCAAGATGAAGTTCACTGGGGTGAATGAAACTGACGGAACAGTTAAGGACATCTGATGCTGAAAATCTGCAACAAAGTTAGGTCTTCAAAACACCTAGATGAAAGACATCGTCAGACGTTTCCTATCTGGGAACTGTTCTAAAGGTTCAATAAAATAGCACCACGTATTTGAGGGCGAGTAAATCAAGCCAAGTGGAAGAAATACCAAAGACCCGAGAACCAGCAACTCCATCGCGTTGTACTGTTGATTTGTACGGTTCTCTGTATCGTAACATTCCCAATGGTTTTGCAGCATTCTTAGAGCATTTGGTGACTTGACCGCCAAGTACGACTTAGAAAGGCACATTGGTCCGTATGTACATGACTTGCAACCGCAGAATGTCACTATGTTTTACTATGTGTCGTCATTTACATAATTTATATGGTGACACTCATGCTTAAGAAGTTTGCACAGGGTTTACAATACATCCCTTCGGTGAGCAATTTCATCGCAATACGATTGTATAAATCCAGTTTAACGGAACCTCACCGTCAGGTAGATGAATTCACCATAGCATGACACTTGAGCTCGATTCCGGCCGACACACTTATGGTCACGTTAGAAAGGATTATACACAACACCAGATTATCCTCCTTGAACCCCATCTGCAATATGTGGGTGGCACTTTGCCAGCTCCTCAGTGAGAGCTTGAGAAAGATCAATATTTCAGACGCGGGCTTACTAACTGGAAGGTTTAAGCCCAACCTGGGTAACTGAAATGACCTTCCCTAGACTTGGGAATCTCAGTCCTCATGTTCCCATCGTGTTGGACAGCAGCAAAGAACGAACAAGGTGTTACATCCGAACGATTATTATTGTCGTTAATTATGTCTCAGCTTGGGACTTACGAATAGTTTGGGAACATTCGGCAGGGCGTTTCGTTCTGTTTACCTGTGCAACTGCTGATTCACTGCCTATCCCTTACGCAGCTGGAATCCTAAGCATTGTTTACTGGAAGCCATCTTGGGTGAGGCAGTGTATCAGAGTCTCAGCAGCCGCGTTTAACCTGGCCTACCACATTAGCACAGGTCATGCCCCAACGGACGGAGGGGATGCCACTGAGCATTCTTGGCAACACTTGTGCAACACTTGACAAAAACCGTTCCCACTGAATCGAATAAAACCTATGGGCTAACAATATTTGTCTTCTCTGGTGGCTGTACCACAGGTGGAATTGCTTTATTCGGAACATGACATAAGCCAATTTCGACACTTCTCGAGAGGGCAGTTTTCAAACTGGTTACTTCGGGAAGAACAATCCAACCACGTGGTACATACTAAATCAATAATCTATTGAGTAGACTGCAGCGAAATACGCAACTCAGTCATCGCGGACCCAAAAAGAGCTAAAGAAAGGTAACCTGCTTGGGTGTAAGGAAATGCAGTGTTCCCATATCAGTGTCACTCTTAAACAACAGCAAATTTGGCGCCTTACTGTAAATGATTTATATACTGGATGTGACTGATTTCGGTTTGCGCTAATGGTCCATACCTTTGTCCTTTTCAGGGGAGTTCCTTCAAAACGGAACAGGATTTCGCGCAGCCAGAAAAGCGGGTCAAGAAAAAGTCAGCCGAGAATACCGCGGGAATACCGGTTTATCGCGAAGCTAAAGATTATTCAGAAGTAAGGACCCCGAAACATTGTTCTTAATTTTACCAACGGGACGAATTTATGCGTAGTAAATAAAGTAAATGGGACCATACTATACTTCGCCATATTAATAAGGCTTGCAAAGTAAAGCCCAGAAAACTAGCCACATTTTAAAGAACGAGAACAAATGGAAGTTACCATTTATTAGTCTTGAGTAAATAATGACCATAACCGTATCTGATCGCTAAGTATACAGTATCTGAATGATAACTCAAACGTCGTTCCCTCTATTCTCATGATAGAGAAACTTCTGTGCGGACGGTAAATGATATTAGTTTGGGGCTCAGAATGTGTTCATATCACAGTTGTGATGCGACTTTTGGCTGCGAGCTCTTCCGTAATAGGGAACAGTGGGCGTCTGCCTTGAGCAGGGTAGTTGAAACGATTTAAGTTGGTTGTATAATGCATGCACTGCCAACGGGTTAGGTTTCTTTCAAATTTGTTCCTCTTTCAAACTGTCTGTAGCTGAATACGAGGTTTCCAGGATTGTGGGATCGTCCGTCGTTCCTAATGCCTTCATAGAATCGTGTGCTTTATGGGGTGACACTTGACGTTTCGAGGAGAACGAAAAATTCATGTGCGACCGGCTTCGCTTCCTTCCAGACTACACCCTAGGAGCTACTTCCTTTACAAATTGAACTTGAGCCTTCTACAGGGGAACATGTTGGTAGCTCAGGTAGCGTTGTGTCAGCCATCGCTACGCACCACTACGCTCCACAACAACGTACCAATGATGTCATCTCGATCGGTGATGAAATGCTTGCAATCAAATTGCCCAGCTCAGCGAACAAGCTTTGACGATCAATGTGTTTTTGTATAAATAATAGATAAATAATAAAAAAATGAAAAATAAAATGAATAAATAGATTTTGTGCGGATTAGTTTTCTATAAAAAGAATGTATATTAAGACCAATAAACAAGCATAAGGAAGTCATTTATTTTCCCTTCAACTGAGTTACAGAATTCTTCTTGGTTGTCAAATGATTTTCAGTTGTCTCTCAATTTCAACCGATGAGAAACCAGAAAACTAGGTTCCTTCTGATGATAGTACCTCTCTCTTTCGGTGCATTTTTGCAAAGAAGTACAGTGAAGCGATAATTGGTTCTCCTAACTTTCTTACCTTTCACATCAACGGTTCTATTGGTACTCAAGTGAATAAATATATCTTTGTGTGATGCACTTACTTCTTGCACTCTAATCAACTATTCGTCGACTGCTAAAGAGGATACCCTTACTGTTTCACCATGGCATACTCATAGCATATACATTAGTCACTGTAGCTTACGTGCAAAAGTCACATTTTCAAGACAGATTTGCTCATTCACCCTGAAGTTGAAAGTGTACCAGCGGTAGAAGGATTGCTTCTCACCTCGCTTTATTGTGTGCTCTTTGATTGTAGACGAGGTAAAACGACACAAAACTGGATAAAACTGGCATTTTAACATGTTTGTACTATCAGAATAATCTAGCTTTATTAATATCAAAGACAAAACCTACTTGACGAAGCATATGAAAGTGTGTTTCAGCTCCTGTCACTGTTCGATCAAACAGGATTCACCCACAATTAACATCCACCGATCGGATTCTCACTGGGTGATCTTATGTAGGTTTATAGTGTCCTACCCGATCTCTCGCAAACTGAATTTTTATACCTTGCTGACAACGAGCTTGGCATTTGACGTCTTTGAAGCTTTTTTGGGAGTTTGTGACGCTTCTGGGCTTTTTGTTGTTACGAATTTGAAACGTTTTTTGAACTGTTTTAACGAGTTATACATACTGCGAATGCTTTCTTCCTTTTGGGATTGAGGACCTCCTGGTTAGAATCGTCCTATATGGAAAACTACTGCACCTCCCTGAGGTTGAACACTTCCTGTTTCTGCAGCTAAATTAATTCTTTCAGTTGGAAATAGACAAATGGCTTACTCATACGTTTCCTGAAAACTTTTCGGTATCCAACGATCGATTTAGCTCTTCTTGCGTTCACCAGTTAGGTAGTATCCGATTTTTCTGATGTTTTCATTGAACCAAAATCGGACAAAATTCGATAACTACATTAACCTGGCTAGCCTTTGAGTGGATTCTTGAGAAGCGCACTTTCCGGGAATACCTGGCAACCCACCCAATGTATACTTTAACTGTTTTATTCGATAACTTCAAGTCTTTCTGAAGACGAGGCTTTTCCAATTCACTCATGGGCTGAAATCCGAAAAACAGTAACTGAAGTGCAAAACATGGATGAATCACCGATCGCAATGTTTCCATACTATATGATGAAGCGTTCCGTTTGATATGCACAACCTGGTGTACTAGAAATTTTCCATAGGACACAGAAGACAGAAGACCCACGAGCCTCAAGAACAGAGCCTTCTCCACAATGCAGGCAAAGTTCTGGCAAGTGTTCCGCTCAGCTCAGATATTCTGGAAGAAATGTCCAACAAGAATTTGTAGATTCGCAAGTGGGCGAACCGTGGTCGACCTTGTTTTTGATGCATGTCAGTTGCAATAAAAAATTGCCGGGAGCAGCCAGAATGCCCTCTATCTTGGATTTCGCCAAAATTTGTTGCAGCAAATACGAAGGTGCTATGTTTGGATATCAGAAAGCCCAGCTGCCCCAAGGAAAAGATCAACATTATTCGATTTCTTCACTTTTATATGAAAGCCCGAGTGAGGAACCATTAAACCACCTGTCAAGTTAGCACGAGTCAGCACGAAGTGAATCACCACTTCAATGTGGCCTCTTATTTGTTCATTCTTGACACAACTATGATATTTGAGGAAGCTATTTTTGACTCCAACGATGATGTATCAATCCAACACCTTTCCGACCGCAAGCATTTCAACTCACAGTGTTTTACGGAGAAACGTAATCGCATGGCTCAAAGATCCATGTGCTGTGCTTTGTCCGCACTCCACCAAACAGCGATGATATGTGCCTCGGTTTTGACCTAAATATGAATACCTCCAAAACCTTTGCCAATCGTCAGTAACAGACGACTTCAAACTAGTGATTGAGACTCGGTAGTTGTTAAGTGCCCTACCACCAGTCACATACATGACAAGTGGTGAAAACTTCATCCCCGGGTTAATCTGTTAATTACTTCACCCGGCTTCCTACATAACTCCGTTTGAAACAACTCGTTTGCTCGCAGACACCAAGGTTGCAGTATGCCTAGCTATTGCACTGTCTTTGTTAAATAATAGCAGCCACGTACAAACGCTATTCCCATGGTACACTTGAATTCCTGGCAAGTTTTGCCTCTTATGTTTACGCAAGATTCTTTGGATTCATTGGTCGGATAGAAGTTTGAGCAGTGTAGTTCTCAAACGAGCCAAGATCAACGGTTTTGGGTGTGTAGTGATGCTAAGCCAGTTGCTTAGATTAGAAAAACGAATTGCCGAAAACCGCATTCCAGGACAGCACACTTGCGATCAAAAAAGGAACTAGAACCGGAGGATGGCCGAAATTCTTCTTTTGCAGTATTCTTCAAGTCAACTTGAAAAACTGTAATGTTGGTTTCAAATCTTGTGAGAGGAGTAAAGCCTGTACAAGTCTGATTATCTATCAAGAACGGCACATTCAAACACTGAAAAGCAAGCGTATTATTTGGAAAAGGCATTCAACATCCAACAACCACAAGGACCGTTTAACCTCTGGGTGCATACATCTGAACAGGACCGAACTCTCCAGCCACTGATGTACTTACTCTAACCCATCACTCATCCACATGCAGTGGGCCGCCAAAGGCGAATTCTTCTGCGATTTCAAGCCAAATCTGCCCGACTGTACAGTCAAACTACGAACGGTGCCAGTGCAACGGGGCATACTACTGATCGGGCATGTGAGTAGCCTGTAGTCGTGTCTAGTGGAAGGGGAAGTTTATTACGGATCTTGTGGAACTGCCTTACAGTGCTCGTTTATGATTGGGTAATAGTCAGTGAATATTCATGAAAGTTCAGGAGAACACGTAAAAATGTTCAGTTTTGAAAAAAATTATGTGTATGTGAGACGTTACTAAGGTTTACAGCGACGGGATCGACGATCAGTCCACACAAACCCGGTCCTGTGGGTTGGCGATCAGTGGATCATTCATTGTTGATCGGTGGATTCGTTTCAGATTCCATCGATCCATATACGGCTTTCCGCAGTATGATATTTTCAAGTCTACTCGACTTGATTACAGAGAGGCCCATAATGAAGGGATTACTAATTCCCTAAACTACTGGGTACATAGGTAATTTTAAGAAAATTTTCAAGCTTTGGCGATTCAGACAATGTGATTCTGATGCGTTTGACAGAACGTGCTTTTTTCTGCCAGTCTGACAGGTGCACATTTTTGGAGACGCTCATTCTACTTCATTAGAATGTCAGCAGCGTTGTTGCTATCGAGCAGTTTCATCGTTGTGCAAAATCGGATTTATGATTCAAGAGGAGATGATCGGAATAAAAGTTATTAGCTAAGGGCTGCCAAAGTTTATGAATCTCAATAAGAATGGACATCGGCTGAGTCATCCTCAGGTTGTTTTAAGGTTGCCCAAGGAACCTTTCTCAGGGACCAGTCAATCGTGGATAACGATTAGATACTAAGACACATTGGCAGACCGTAGTAAGTAAGAAAAACAACAGACACCGGGGATAGAAAATGAGATTACTGCTCATGTGTCAAGTGAGTGATCGATGAACTTAGTTGGCCGGGACCGCACGCATGTAGCTGAACATGTATAATTACTCAAAACTTGCCCTCACTGTGTTTCCTTGGTTTCCAATCCAACATTAATTAAGTGCTCGTCTACTGTCCATCTGTTCACGCCGTTGTGTCCAAAAGCAAGAGATTCTCAAGACCCAACGTTCAGAAGGTCATGGGTGAAATTATTTGCAAGTAAAATTTGACGATTTTCCTAAGCACCGTAAACCAGTTGGATTTTTTTACTCTGCACTGAAATAAAGAAAATTTAACATGAATAAACGAGTTCTCCCGAAAAAAATCACTGAACAGATTTTTCCATAAAGGAAACTACGCACAAGGTTGCTGAAAAGTCGTTGACGGCCCACGACCGGTTTCTCCCTGAACAGGTGCTTAATGTGCTGGTAAACTTCACACTGCAGCACATAGAACTTCCATCCTTCTTGCACAAAAATGCTTGATCCGCATTCCTGTTACGCAACCCTGAAAACAGTTTGGATAGATGACAATATTCCAGTGATTTAAGGCTGACTGTGGCCGAACATTTTTAATCTACGTGCGAGTCAGTCATACGAAGCCCGTGGCCGAATGGTTGAGTGTTCAAACTATTAGTCCGGAGGTTACGGGTTCAAGACCCCTGGAGCTTTGTGAGATGCGCGCTGTTGATGATTCCCAATAAGGATGAAATGACTATACAGTGGTTCTGAGCTTTTCAGCATAGAGTGGTTCCATTCGCAAAACGAAATCTCAACTGGAAATCCATAACTCTTCTGGCTACCAACAAATGGCCGAGGGTGTATGTCGCTAGGGCATTCGATGCACCCATTGAGGTGGTATTTTCTTCTTTCGTTGACCTTGAGTTTCCACTTCCAAGGACAGTGATGGGGACGTTTCAAGTCTAATGGGATTGTAAGTAACCTTACCTAACCCTGCAGTCAACTTCTACAGTTTCAGCACTATTGTCATGAGAGAATCAACTTTTCGAAAACAGCTTGTGGTCTACCAAGGGTAGAACATTACGGGTGAACATACCCGACGGATTCGTAACAGAGGTCGGTCTGACGATATTTCGCTGTTCTGTCGCCACTTAGCCCACGATGGCCGTTCTAACAAGGAAGAGTAGCACAGTCGAACCGTCCCATTTGTTTCTTCACACAAAACTAATTATAGGTTTGATGAAAACTGTTCGACAGCCCACTACTGGTTCTGCCCCTCATCTGGTAGGCGTGGTTCCACTTATCGTCTCAGTCCTATTTCCTGCTAAAGACGAAACATTCAACTGAAAAATGTTATACACATAACCCCATGGCATCTGTACATCACGCAAGGGGCATTCACATGGATGGAGGTAAATTAACCAATGAAAATACCGCTGCAAAATCCTGGCTACTGAGTTTAGCCTAGGTGTACTAAGAGGGCTTCAGTCAATGGAATTAGCACTATTATGCTGCCTTGGTCAACTTGAAGACGGCGGTAAAAACAATAAATTTGCGAGATGAATTTATTCCATTCACTGCCTTTTACCGCTTGGTGCTTAAAACAATATGTTTAGACGAAAGTTGACTTCTTGCATATTGCTCAACTAATACAAGAGGTAGACTTTGTGCAGCTAACATGTATTATGAACAAAAGTTTCGGCTAAAATTGAGTTTGGTTTCCCGTTAACATCAACCTAAATTGCAAGTGGCATTATCTTTCTACTTCTCCATATTGTTCACCTTTCCAGGGATCTTGAATGATGAATCATCGGTCGACCAGCCAGTCAGGTGTTCTGACTATCGCTTGACCTGAACTCTTATGGATGATGGATTTCTTTACACCACACATTGAGAAGCCGAAGAACCTGACAGTATATAGGGTAAATCATGTCAGTTGAATCATGAGTGGAGTCATACTTCAATTTTTTTAATCCGTCTGCGTCGATTGGGCTATCTTTCTCCTACAGAATAGAGGCGGACATGCAAATACGTTGGACCTAGTGACGGGACTCAAGAAAATCTCTCAGCCGCAATTGTGAAATCAACCTACGACTCCATGCTTGGCTATTTCGCCATCAGTAAGTTGAATACCATAGAGAATAAGAAAAGTTGAATGTTTTCTCTGGCATAGCTGATTGCTGAATTACGGGAGATCGAAAAGATCGACGTGACAGTCATCAAATCTCTGAACAGACGTAAATTCAGCACCAGCGAGGGAGAAATAGGAGCGAGGACGTAATTTACCCGAGTTTCTTGCCTATTGGCACTTGTTAACATTGCGCACACCCTGTGTTTAACGAGATCTGAACTCAGGAAATCTGACGCAGTATGAGAGTGTGTTACCAGGGCCCCAACAGTGCTTACTTGAAACATAATTATCACGTCTGAGCAGACGGGCGTTTTCATACTTCAGAGACGTAGCCGTTTTTCCGAACACGTAGAAAAGCGACCGAGAACGGAAAACAGTCGGTTCAAGCCACCATGATGTAAATAGGGATTCTAAAAATTATGCATCTCCTTAGGACCAAAGATTCAA